AAATCTTTAAAAAATGATAAATGTTTTATCATCTACATCTACCTCTAGGGTACATGTAACAATATAATGACAGGAAGCATTCTATGAAAATGTCAAGGGAGGGAGCACAGATCTGAACACAGGATTAAACACTTAAATTGAATGTGCATTGGTTCAACAAATACACCTTCGAACCAGGAACTGTTCTAGGTGCTTGAAATACAACAAAACAAAGCTATTTACCTTGTGCAGCTCACATTCCCACTGGGGAGGAAAGAGAGATGAACAAACATAATAAACAAACATATCACATAGTATATCCTACACTTGCAAATTTTATGGGGGGGAAGGTAAAGTAGCTTAAGGTGGGGTTGAGAGATAGATTGGTAATTTTAAGAGAGTTAAACAGGCCTTCTTAAAAAGCTGACATTTACCGACTGCTTTATGTGAAACATTTTATTATATTGTCCTCCCTTGTGCAGCCCTGGCTAGCCTGAACTCACTTTACAGACCAAGCTGTCCTTGTACTCAGACATTCACCTGCCTCATCTCCTGAGTGCTGGGACTAGAGATATGTGCCACTATGCCAGGCATGATTATCTTAAAAACTAAATTTGGGGTTTGGAAAATGACCCAGTAGGTAAAGTGTTTTTGTGTAAGTATAAGAATTTTAGTTTAGACCCCCAGCAACCACATAAAAAGTCGAAGGAGGCAGTGTGCACCTGAAATCCCAGTACTAGTTAAACAAAGACAAGAGGACATCTAGGGCTTACTAGCCAGCCTGTCTAGCCATTATGGGAACTTCCAAGCTCAGTGAGGGATCTTGTCTCAAAAATAAGTTGGAAAGTGATTGAAGATGTGTGTTTAGAACTCTGTTATCCACTACTTACACACACACACCACTCTAAATTGTTCCTTGGTACTATAATTTTGTGAAGACTGAAAAGAGTACAATCTTAGAACCTTTTTTTTTTTTTTTTTTTTTTTTTTTTTTTTTTTTTTTTTTTTTTTTGTTTTTTGGCCCCTTCTCCTCCTGGCCTTGAACTCACAGAGATCCACCTGCTTCTGCCTCCCAAGTGTTGCGATTAAAGGCGTGCATCACCAATGCCCCAATCTTAGAACTTTTGAAATTGCAGTTGGTACTAAGTGCTCTTTAAAAAAATGTATATTTGATTTTGTTTGTTCTAAAGATTTATGATTTATTTTTTATTATCTTAAGTTGTGTATATGTGTGGGTGTGAATGTGAAGTGTAGATGCCCTGATGACCAGAGGCATCACATCTCCCGGAACTAGAGATACAGGCAGTTGAGAGCCATTCTCCATGGGTGCTAGGAACCATATTCAAATCCTCTGGAAGATAGTTCTTTAATAGAATGATTTTCTTTCAAGACAGGGTTTCTCTGTGTAGCTTTGGAGCCTCTCCTGGCACTTGCTCTGTAGACCAGGCTGGCCTCGAAGTCACAGAGATCCACCTGCTCAAGTGCTGGGCTTAAAGGCATGCACTACCACCACCCAGCAATAGAATGAATCTTATGTTAGTGGCAATGGATAAAGATTGTGTCTGTATTCCTTTCCCTCTTTCTTTATGAGTGTCATTTATCCCCTTCACTCACTATAAGATTCAGTAGAGCTGGGTATGATGGCTCACACCTTTAATCCCAGCACTCAGGAGGCAGAGGCAGGGGCAGGGAGATCTCTGTGAGTTCAAGGCCAGCCTGGTCTACAGAGCAAGTTCTATGACAGTCAGGACTATTAACACAGAGAAACCCTATCTCAAAAAACAAGCAAAAAAAAAATTTCTAACTGCTAGGAAGGTGGTGGTTCCTCTTAAGCAAACTTTCTTTGAACTTTACTTCATCTTCATCCACTAAAGCATGCATTCATCAGAAAACTATGCAAAAATCACAAGTCAGCTTTGAGGGCAAATTATGGTCACTCTATATACTAAGCATGGAATGGAGATTGGGATCTTTGGCTAAACTCAAATTATCAACAGTACTTCATATTTCAGGGATCATTATCATGCTATTTGTTTATGAGGCAGTAAAATACACATGCTTCTCGGAGTTAGCTCGAATATCGAGTAATCATTTGTCTAAGTACATTAAAAAAAAACTAAGCCGATGTATAAATATATACTTAAGGATATCTGATGCTGCATAGAGGATCACACTACCAATCTCCCATTGCTACACAGAATTTATTCCTTTATTTAAGAGATTTGAGTATATATTAAAACACACACACACACACACACACACACACACACACACACACACACAGCCCTAAAACCCAGACAGGCAAGGCTTTAAATCTCATTTGCAGGTGGCCTTTGTAATCACACCTGGTGGTTAGGTTGTGTTTCTGTTAGTAAAATATTGTAGATTGCTAGGTAACACAAAGGGAAATCTGTTTTTAAAAGAACAACATTCGAAGCCGGGTGTTGGTGGCGCACGCCTTTAATCCCAGCACTAGGGAGGCAGAGGCAGGCGGATCTCTGTGAGTTTGAGGCCAGCCTGGTCTCCAGAGCGAGTGCCAGAATAGGCTCCAAAGCTACACAGAGAAACCCTGTCTTGAAAAACCAAATAAATAAATAAATAAATAAATAAATAAATAAATAAAAGGTTTTTCAGGCTCTAATCACTCCCAGAAAATGTAAAATTTAACTGTGCATGTCCTTAGAGCCAAACCATGGCCCAGCAGATTTCACTTTGTTTTATAGATACAGAAACCTTCTGTTTAGTGCTATGAGTTTTAAAAATCCCACTATCTCACATTAAATAAAACAAACAAAAACAAAACAAAAAAAGAACAGAAAAGAAAAACCTGAAATGCTGGTTTAAATCAATTGACATTTAGCAAGTGTTTTCAACACCTGGTAATGAAAAGCAAAAGCACTGGTTTGTGATCTTCAATCTATTATAACCTTTCAAAAACTGAAAATAAGCCAGTGTGGTGGTACATACTTTCAGTCCTAACACTGGGGAGGCTGAGATCAGCCTGAGCTACATAGTGAGGCTCACCTAGATTACATAAAGAAAGTGTCTCAAAAAAGGAAAAAATAAAAACAACAACAACAACAACAACACACACACACACACACACACACAGCCAGGAGTGGTAGCCCTTGGAAAGAGGCAGAGGAAGGAGGACCTCTGAAACTGAGGCCAACCTGGTCTATATATCAAGTTCCAGGCCAGTTAGGACATGTATCTACATAAATTAGAAAAAACATAACACCCTAAAAAGAATTCACCATGCCTTATGTCTACAAAAACTGATAACTAAAACAATGAAATCAACAATTTTCCTCTTGCTCCAATTCTGTGGGTAAAACACATGCCAAGGTGGTTAATATTTGTGGTACTGTAGTTTGCTTGGACACACCCCACCAAAGATTTCTCAGTCAGAAGTGAGAAAAAGAGCTGTTTACACAGAGCATCTGATTGCCTGCCTCAAGCTGACATTTTCTTTGCAGACCAGCAAGATAAACAATCGGTGTGTTTGAGAAACTTTAGTGCTCATGTGCTTTTTTTCCCTGAAGCAGACACTCAGATTCCATACACAAACTACGATAATCTACATCCTCATTAGTTTTCCCTTAACTCTCACATGAGGAACTTGTCTTCCCCAAGGCTAGGAGTTAGACTGTTTTACTTACACATACTTTGTTGTGCCTACATCTTCAGTCCTACCACCTTTATACGGTGTAAGTGTGAACAATCTCAACCCAAATATAAGGCTTTAAATTAACACTCAAATTTCTGGCATTTCTAAAAATTGCCATTTATTAAGGAAACACACCAATAGGAACAGGTTTTGGTCACAGCTCCAGACCTACAAAATAATAAGTCTATTTTGTAAGCATTATAGTACACAGATGAAGGGAGTTGATAAATTTTGAAACTTCAATGGATTTTGAAAATATTTTCATGCTGCTTTAAAATGATCAAAGAGTGGGCTTTAACCTGGGCTACAAGTAAATTTAGAGAACTTTAAATCTCTGGGGTTCAATGGGCCTAAGTGGGATTAAAACAAAAATTGTTTTGTATTCTATTAATAGCTTACGATTAAATGCATATCTTATTTCAAATGGAATACATTTACAAGTACTTAAACTTACTAAACTGGCCACTAATCCCATGTCTGTTTCTGGAAAAATTCTCTCATATAACATGCAAGTTAAGCGACCAATCACCACGAGTTCTGTTAGCTTAGGTCAATTCTTATTAAAATCTCAGTGCTCTCTGACTCCAATAACCTCCCCAAATCATCGACGTAGAAAAACCCAAACGCGAGCGAACATGATCACAATACATTGTATACATGTATAAAACGGTAACAAAAAGTAATCAAAAGAACAACCAAATTGAACTTAAAAAACTACGGTATGAAAGCGTCCAAGAGGGGGAAGGCGTTTTAAGTCTTCCCAAGAGCAGATTCGCATAGCCTAGAAAATTCCCTGAGCCGAGGGAGCCAGGCTCACCTGGCCATGGATTCCTAATTATGGAGGAGTTTCTCCCCTACATTCTTGAGCGCTTTCTTTTCTTCGAGGAAACTCGAGCTTTTTTTTTTTTTTTTTCTCTCTCTCTCTCTCTCTCTCCTCTTTTGGATCTGGGAAGGGTTTAGCCACAGCGGCCAGACCAGCACCGTCACTGATCACAAAGAGAAGTTGGGAAGGGAGGCAAGCACCCCGGGGCCCCCACACACTGTCGTCCATGTCTCCAGCCCCCTCTCCCCGCAACATGAGAAATGTGAGGGGCCCCTGGGCGTCTCCGAGGGTCCAGGTGGGAAGAGAGATCCTTCCCCGAGTAAGTCCCCACTTTATCTTAACAGTGAAAAAGAATCTCGACCTACCCCCCTAGCGACAATGGTCAGCTGCTTGGCGGGGCGCACTTTCCTGGCCTCCGACCCTGGACTCCCCAAGTCTCTGGGCCTCCCAGCCTCCGCCCTCAGTCTCGAGCCCCGATTCCACGGGGTCCCAGACACCCCCTCGAGCTCCTCAGAGTCCCACACTTACGCGGTACGTGTTCTCCGTGAGCCGGTTCACCTCCTCCGGCCCCCGAGACATGGCTGCAGCCTCCGGGAGGGCGAGCGCGGGAGGACGCGGCGGGGGCGCG